AACTTAAAATAATTTAGTCATAACATTTTCATTTTAATAAGAATTTAGTTATAAATATAATTTTTTATAGGTTATTTTCATAGTGGAAATACTACAATACATAGAAGAATACTATACATATTAATTTCAGACAGATAATAATCACATTTTATTCTGCCTCACACATTACCTGCATTATCTCATAAAAACACCTACGAAATATATATTTATCATTTTAATTGTTCTATAATTTTTCCCTAAATTGGCAAAAGCCTATGTAAACCTAATTAAAATTTTCCACAGTCCCACCAATATACCCGTTTTACACATTTTAAATTACTCGAGAGCTAAAAATGAATCGATACAAACTATTCCAGCTGAAGAACCAAACGAAACTTCATAATGATTAAGTTTCCACATGTTATTTCAGGTGTGTCTATGTTTTATCTTCTATGACTAGGACGAGGGAAACTTTTTAGCAAAGCAAAAATTGCGCTCAACGAGGATAAATGAAAACATAAACTTTGGCCGCTCTTACCTAGGGTCTTGGTCCATTGGGCAGTGGGCCGCCAGTCCGGATAGTGCTTGGGGAAGAGTTCGCGCGTCCAATAGGTGTGCAGGACGACCTTATAGACGGCCAGGCGGTCCAGAGTGCAGCCCGTTAGGGGGGCTGGCTGCGTGGCTGCGGCCGGGGCTGCGCTGACGGCTGGCGTATTCTGCGTGGGCGTGGCATTGGAATCCGTGTAGTAGTAATTGCGGTAATTGCCATTCACATTTGCATTCGAATTGCCAGTGTCGAAGTTTATGAAGTTTTGATTGTCGAGATTTTGTCTTTGTTGTTGCTGTTGTTGTTGTTGTTGCTGCTGCTGATTGGCAACGGTATAGGCGTATATAGCCGGATTTGATATGAAGGATGCACCGTAGCTGTTGCCGGACTGTGCTTCGGATGCAGCAGCGACGGCAAACGCAAGCAGCGAGCAGAGCATCGCTACCAGCAGCTGTTCGAATTTGAATTTCGCTTTCATTTCGCTTAATTTCGAATCTCTTGTGTTTCTGCTGTTTTTGTCAACTGCAGCCGCCTGGTTTATTTATAGATTTTGGATTATTTTCTGCTTTCTATATCTTTCTCAACTTTGTTGTACACTTTTACATTGGCCGCTGCTTATAAATAAATGCACGCACACACGCACCGACACAGTCACTCACACATACACACACACATGCAGGCGCGCACATGTGTAACGCGCGCGTGCTTATTTTTGGGTTCCTTTTTCCCTGTTGAAATTCACGTGGCAGCGACGACGCGTGCGATTCCAATGGGCTACGACGAGAGCATCGACAACCGCTTACTTGCAAAGTTCGTTGCGTACTAAATGCTGAGCGCATGTTGCGGCAGTCGCGGCGACAGCCAAATATCACCCAGCGACAGCATAACGGCAGTTATGCAGCGAACAGCAAGCAGTGAGCAAAACAGCCCGGCAGAGAGAGAGAGAGAGAGCGAGCGAGCGAGCGAGTGGAGAGAGTGGCCGCCGGCTGGTACTTTTACGCTCTGTGTTGGGGAAATTTCTTTTCGTGTTGTGTGCGAGCAGAAAAACGAAAAAGCAGCCTGTTGAGCTTTGGCTACAGCAATGTGCGTATCACTCATGTTGTTGCTGTTGTTTCTGTTGTTGCTGCTGCTGTTGTTGACCTCAAGGCTTTGGGCACATTATTGCACATTTCCTTTTCGGCATTTGAATGGGCAGCGTTAATGAAGCGCTACTTGTCATGCAATTAACGGTAACTACCAAAGCGCCGACTGGTATGCAATGCCAACTGTACTTAGCGGCACCAACGACTCACAGAGCGAGCGAGAAAGCAACAACAACAACAGTTGYCAACAATGAGCGCAATTTTCGATTAAAATCAATTGAAGCACTTTAATTGCTACAATTCAATTAAACAACGCGCTAATGGACAATGCACAACTAAGTAACAACAACAGCAACAACAACAACATAAACAATGACATCGATTTGAAGCGTGGGCCTTCACGCACACAGGCTCACACACACACACACACACATAGTTGGAAATGAAGGGAAATTCTGGTTAGTTTTGCGTCGAAATTACTTTTCAATTCTTTGCGCATTGTTTGTGGCAGCTTAAGTGGAGCTTGTCAAGCCGAAACTTTTAGTCCAGGCGCAAACACAAAAAAAAAAAAAAAA